TGCAAAGGAAGCAGATGCCGCCCCAAAAGAAGCCGGCATAGTTGCCCCAGTCCCATGCGCCGGGGTTCAGCATGTACGGGGTCAGGACACCGCAGACGATGGCGACGATGTTGTACAGGTTGCGGCCGAGCACGACCGTCTTGATTTGAAGGCGGCGGGTGGAGAGCTCGGCGACAAGGGAGTAGGCGACCGTGCCGACGGTCAACTGGTAGAAGAGCGCCCATACGATCATCATGGAGCCGGTTGCCAGGGCGGCCTGGGTTTTGTGCTCCTCGGGTACTAGGCCAAGGAATCCCATGACAAGCAACATGACGCACAGCCCGCAGAGACCGTACAGGTAGAGTGTTCTCCGGCCCAGGCCGATAGACATGAGGAACCAGGCTCCGAAGACGCCGACCATGTTGATTCCGTACTGGCCCATGGCGAACGCATAGGCATTGTCGGTGCTCAAGCCTGCCTGCTCGAGGAAGTAAGTCGAGTAGTTGGAGAAAGAGTTGCCGCTCAGGTTCTGAATGGCCCAGACCATGCAGACGATCTCGGTCCGGCGCAGGTCGGTGCCTTTGAAGCAGTCCAGGTAGCTGGCCCCGGTGGTGATCTTGTTCTCCAGGGATGTGGTATGAACCATCATCGAGATGGTCTCGTCGGCGTCGAAGTTGGTCTCCCGCTTCACGCTCGTCAACCGCAGCAGGGCTTTCTTGGCTTGTTGGATCTTGCCCTTCCGGACCAACCACCATGGGGATTCTGGTGCGAGAGAAATCCCAATGAAGAGGGGCAATGGCCACATCCACTGCAGTCCATATGGAATCCGGTATGCCCATTGGTCATCCCGATTGATCATACCCTTGATCACACCGATACCGATCAATTGTCCCAATCCCCAGCAGAAATTGACGTAGGTCGTGAGGTATCCACGCAGCGCCACCGGACACACCTCCGACGCATAGGTGACGGTCAATGTCTGAAACACTCCCCAGGGAATACCGGCCAGTATTTCCGCAGCCAGCAGCGCCTGAACGTTCGGGGCGGTGAAGAAGATGGCAGTCCACGCCGTGATCAAAACGAGACAAGCCATGATAGTATAACGATATCCGAAGCGTTCCGAGGCCCAGCCATTGATGAAGAGGCCGATAATTTCTCCGACGTAGGCACCGTTACTCAAACCCGATTGCCACTGCATAGGAGACGATTTGTTAGCCAATTGTGTCACGCGAGCACTGCATGGCGTGCGGGATGATGGTGCAATTGCATGGATGTCCCAGGAAAACAAGAGGGGAGGAAGTCAATTACCCGTGCTGGCACCTGATATGTTCCATCCGCCGACAACTCGCCGTATTTTCGGTTGAATTGAGGGAAAGCGTAGAAGTTGTTGACAAGACTGATATCGTAGCCTTCCATGACGATGCAGGTGGAGATAAGGATACTCCAGGCAACGGCCTTGGGATAGAGCTTGACGCCCTGGAGCAGGGTCATCTTCTGCTCCTTGTCCGTGGCCGCTTTGGCATTCTGAATGATCTTGGCTGCGGAAGCCATGGAATCCTGGCGATCGGTGGAGGGCGATGGCGGCTGCTCTGCCGGGGCAATGGCATCCGGAACCTTGGGGGAAGCCATGCTGGCGAGCAATTGCAGGCAATCCCGGGGGAGGGAGAAAAGGGTGAAAGGGGGAGGGGAGGGAGAGAGGAGGTGAAGAGGAAAGAGGAGGGAGGGAGGGAGGGAGGAGACGGACAATCAATCACTGGAGGGCAGCAGGAAAATCAGGGACGATCCGGACCGGAGCGCATTAGCAGCGGGACGGCCATCGTTAGATTTTTATGCTGGCGGCGGGGCCGGCGGTGGTGAGCATACTCAGCATAGTGCGCCCCCCACCGACTGCAGGAACCGGTTTGGTGTCATTTGCTTGCGTGCAATCGTGTCTGACTCGTATTCTTGGGTTCCAATCGAATCATTTGGTCTGCAATAGATCTGGGTGACACAAATTCCCAGGCAAGAATTAAACTCCGACTAAAGCCAAGCCAAGTCTCATTTTACGCCGGGATCCGACACGAGGGGTTTGCGGGGAAAATAAGGGACGGCATGCCCCTCCACCAATTGGTGTCCACCAGAAGCAGAAAGATACACACAAAGTTAATAGGATATCATGGTTCAACCCAACTCAAACAGAAAGTCAACGTGTAGTTGATCACTGTACAAAAGTATAACACCGATCGAGTATGCACGCTAAGATGCATCATCTGCAGGTGCCTCGTGGCAGGAAATGCAAGCCAAAAATCTCCGATAAGCTTGATCCCGTAGGATCCGCCTCGATCTCCGATTCTTCCTGTCGATTATCGGTAAGTGGGTGAAAGCTTGGCCACGCTGACTTTCTTCTTAATCTATGCGTATATGCATGAAATCACGCCACGAAGGATCACTTCTTGGTCTAAACACCAATCTAATATTTATCCAATGGCCAACAGAATCAGCACCGTTGAGCACATGGCGTATATGCAAATAGTACCCGATCATGACCCTACAGGATCACATGTTACCTGTGTATCTTGATTAGTCCTCTTCCGGTTACCTACGCGTCCAATTGGTCGGGTTTAATTGGCCAATTCCATATACGCGGCTCCATCCAGGTTCAGTTAGGCATGAATGAAACTACCTACTTACTGTAGCTATTGCTTATACCAGAATAGGTTGTGCGAAGCAAGAAGCACTGCATTTGTCTGATAATGATAAAATATTTGGATTCCCATTGGTAGTTAATTTGTGGGAAATAATTCATGCTCTACCGGACATACTAAGCCTGTGCATAGGGTGTGTCTCCAGGGTCATCCCCAAATGACTTTGGGATGATGCGAGCTGAGTAATATGCTACACAGTAGCTCTTAGTTATTATTATGTTTAGTCTGACGTTGCCTTCATTTATTTTCTCATACTTATACTATACTGCAGCCATGTACTAGCTGATTTTAAGATCCGATGTCCGGTAGACTTAGTAGTAGATGGCTCATAAGACATGAGAGTATCCGCAATATATAGAGGAAATGAGTTTGTATATGTCTTTGGATAATATCAAGCGTTACCGGCAGCTTCAAGTACGCCTAGTTACTCAACTCAATAAATAACAGTGCCTGGCTCGTCTGGACATCATACATTCGAAACACCAGTAAGTACTTCGACCAGATATCCATGTTAACCTTTCATTTTTGACAGTGGCTGATCTCATGCCATGTCTGCTGATGGTAGAAATTAGTCGTCACAAAAGATGTGCCTCTCCGTGATTTGATTGAGTTTGCATCAAATTGAAATCCTCTATATTATGTCTATATATATTACACTTTGGTTGTCTTCTTGTCCGCAGTATTTGAGATAGGGAGGAATTGATAGTCTTGGGTGTCGATTGAAAGGAGAAAAATAAGCGACTAACTTGATAAGCTTAATATGAGAGCTGTATGACACTGGGGCACACATGGGCAGCTTTTACAGCATCACGTAGTAAGGAGTGCAGCGAGTAATGTATTAAAGTTACCTTCTATTTTGTCATTTGTTCACAGCAAAATCATCTCAGATGACTGGCTCATTGTTTCGTTTCGTTTGTTCCTGCCGAGAGGCGTGATATAGACCAAGCCAATTTTGATCGCTAGTACTTCCTGACTGACCCCTGATTTCCCAATTCTGACTGTCAAGGATTTGACCCACGGAAATATCTTCCATCCTATATGATACACCTGGTAAGATCTGTTTCCTTCCAGAATTTTACTGGTCATTGGAAAGATTCACAAATCTCCATTAGTAACCCTACGGCTAGCTGTCCGAAGGCTATTTCACTATAATCTTACTGTGGCTGTATATCCCGGAAGCCTGCATAACTAATAGTAAAATCTAATAATGATCTACAATCCCAAGACCCTGATTAACCAGATAGGGTTTGGATGACAAGAGCTCTCAGCCTTACCCCGCGTGTTAGCAGCCTTGTCGCGCCTATGAAATAGTGAGTTTCAGCACAAAGGATCGGGCCTACTCGGTGCCCTAAGTAGGCCACCTACTTTATCCTCTAGCACCAACATTCCTCGTGAGGCTACACGATTCAGATTGGACATTTGGGATGATCTACATGCGTGAGCTGACAGAAGTCCATTACCCAGTACCCTCCTTTATAGCCAGCCTCAGTGCTAGACATACGGTGTGTCGGTTGATTTTCCCAGCGCTAAGCACCTCGTAGCCAGCCTTTCACATTTTAAAACTGATTAATGCCAAACTCTCTGTAACTACACCTTGTTCTTCATTCTATAGCAGCAAAAAATTATACTCACCTGTGCGAATGGATTTACCAGAATAGCGTTTTGCGCCATGATCACAAATAATTCGTTTGTCCAGGTGAACAAAACAATTGTGATAGTTTCTCTTGCCCTTCTCACGCGAATATTATCACACTACTCATTCACACAATACGCTGAAATAGGCTCTGAAATGGTGGCATGGGCAACACTGCCCATGTTATTCAGATTGAGTTCTAGATATCACCAGTTCTCAATATACTCTGTTAAGCAGGACCCTAGTCAGCCGAGAGCTGGATCTCTGCGTCCCACACACTTATGGTTGATTGCTGTCGGTGTATGCATATCTTCTTGGTTCGAGTCGGAATTTGGGGCCCTACAAACTTTCGTGCGTCAGGCAAGCACTCTAAACAAGATATATTACTGATGTGACACCAGCCGATTTTATTTCCATTACTGCTGATATCAGGGAAAGTGTTCAACTTCCGCACACAAAGTTTGATAGGAAGGAGCTCTTTCTCCTTTCTGACGGAAACGTTCCACGGGCCCTGCATCATCTCATTGCTGGGAACGTTCAGCCTCGCATCTTCCGCGAACCTTTTTGAATGGGGTCTCTCATTGATCCCCTTGGCCTGTGTCCTGGGCATTTCCATCATTATCTTGTCTCAGCAAGGACGAGAACTGCCTGGTTGCATTAATGTCGAACTCACATCATTACACCTCGCTGCCAGAATTCTGCCAATGTTGGCAGCGACGGTCGTGGCGGAAATAATTATATTCGGTTATTCCTGGGGACATCCCCTTGGCATTCTTGCTTTAGGCGCATTGAAGACCTTTGCTTATTTCTTCACAATTCAGACAGTAAGCCTCAAAGCTCCACATATACGGTACTCTTCTGACCCCTATGAAGGTATACCATTCTTCTTGGAGTGCAGCTATATTGATCGAAATATTCAGCATTCTGGTCGCTAATAGCCCGTTCAACCAGTCGTCGGACCTCAAAGCGTTTTCAAACGTTGTCGCCTCATTACTAGTACTTGCACAACTTACCCAAGTGCTTCCAAGTTTAAAGGGTCGATGGATTGTGTGGACATTTAGTCTCGCAGCGATAATCCCGTATATCGCAAACATATGGACCATATATGTCTCAAACAACACAATAGTCGAAAATCACCCCATCGCAACATTGATGGATAAAGCCAGACTTGACTTCGAAGAAACTATCCATAAACAATCCCGCACATACGCAGCTGCATGCGAGGAGTATCGCCGACGTTACGAGATCGAGCCACCACCTGGATTCGAGGATTGGTTCCAATATGCGTCTGCTCATCAGTCGCCGATAATTGACGATTACGATGCTATATACGACAGTATACTACCGTTATTGAAGCTAAGCGGGAAAGAGATTAATGAGAACATTGTAAATGCGCGAAATCTGCCCAGTAACGACCTTTGGACCTGTACGTTTTCCGGCAGTTCACGCAAAACAAAATGCTCGCATGATTTCCGCGTGCTTGATCGGGATGTTCAACATACATTTGACACCTTACTCGAGAATATACCCGTTACTCTCCCTGACGTTACCTTTATGGTCAACCATCTCGATGAGCCAAGAGTGATACCCCCACCACCAAACAATATCCATACCAGTCCGAGCATAAAGGACCAGTCCAGGCAATCAACATGGGACACAATATCAGCTCCCTGCACCTACCAACCCAACAGTACCCAGACTCAAGACCACCAACCCCCAGCCCAAACCCCCAACCTCCCATTCATCACCGATCCAACACAATCGAAAAACCTCTGCCTCCACCCAGGATACAGCACAAAGCACGGCATATTCCTTAGCCCAACCTCCTTCCGCCCCATAACAGGCCTCCTCCCCATCCTCTCCACAGGCTCCCTCTCCACCATGACCGACATCCTCTACCCCAGTCCGGCCTACTTAGCACCGGACTTCCAATACACCTCCGAAAAGGACATACCATGGCATCAAAAACAAAACACCCTCTATTGGGCCGGTTCTACCACCGGCGCCTTCGCCACAACCACCAACGATTGGCACAACTTCCACCGCCAACGCTTCGTCAGCCTAGTCACAAACCCTTCACACCACCACAACAGCTACACCTACCTCCACCAAACCTCAACCTCAATCTCCACACAAAAATCCACTTTCCTCAACACCCGCCTCTACACCATCTCATTCACCCGCATCTTCAACTGCTCACCCGCCTCCTGCCGCGCCCAACGCCGCTTCTTCCACCCGCACGCCTGGGTCGATAAAGACCAGGGCCTACAATCGAAGCTGATATTCGACCTAGATGGGAATGGTATCAGCGGGAGGTTTTATAGTCTGTTAGCGTCGAATTCTGCACCCCTGAAACAGACCCTGTTTAGGGAGTGGCATGACAAGAGACTGTGGCCGTGGGTGCATTACATCCCGGTTAGTTTGGGGATGGAGGAGGTACCGGAGGTGGTGAGGTATTTTACGTCGAGTAGGGAGGGGAGGGAGAGGGCAGGGGAGATTGCGAGGAATGGGAAGGAGTGGTTTGGGAGGGCTTTTCGGGAGGTGGATATGGGGATTTGGGTTTGGAGGGTGTTGTTGGAGGTGGGGAGGCTGGGGGATCCGGGGAGGGATGCATTCATTCTTCGTGAGGAGGGAGTGTAAGGCTATCTGTTTATATAGACTGTTGTATAAGGTATTGCTGGATGGTATCTAGTCGCGTCTCGATTTCACCGACCGCCATTCTATCATCAAACTCCCCACCATCGTGGCACATGCGAGTCCAATCACCAGATACCACGTCTGTATAAGACTTCTATCAATCGCCACGAGAACATCCCTCGTCTTAGCCGGCGACATGTCTGCCACAAGCTGTGACAAACCACTGTTCTCGATACTCGCCCCATAAATGCCAGACACAAGACCACCTAGATTCACCGAGAGCTGATTCACGAACAAGACCTGCGCAATCGCAATCGCCACAGCCGGACCAAATGACTGAGCGAAAAGCATAATCGATGTACCCAGCGGCACGTCCTCCACGGGCAACACCGTCTGGACAGCGTTCTGCGGACCGGAGAAACCAATACCGTAGGCCAAGCCAGAGAAGGCAGTGTATATGATCAGTTCGGCGAAGCTAGTATTGATTTTAAAAGTGGTGATGAGGCCCGCGGCAACGGGCATCATGAGCGACGCGAAAAGCATGAACGGGGCGTAGTAGCCGATAGCGCTGGTCCCGAAGCCGTGGATGAGTGCGCCAACGGTGCCGGCGATGATGATAGGGAGCATCATGTAGCCGCTCTTGGCGGGGGTGTATCCGCGTACGACTTGGTAGTAAGTGGGCAGGTAGTATTCGAGGACGTTGCCGGTGCTGTTACCGCACATGATGAAGATGCAGCCGGCGATGACGCTGCGGCGTTTCAAGATGCGGAGGGGGAGGGCGGCGGCGTCTCCGAGGCGTTTTTGGTTGTAGATGAAGGCGGCCGTGAGGATGGTGAAGGTGGTTAGAGGGGCTATTACTGCGCCGCTGGTCCAGGGGTACTTGGTGCCGGCCCAGGAAAAGGCTAGGAAGAGGGATGTTAGTGCTGGGATGAATAGGAGGTTGCTTGTTAGGTCGAGTTGTATGATCTTTTGTTTGAGGCCCATGCGGGCGATGGCGCTCGGTTTTGGCGGGTCTGAGAAACAACATATGGTCAGTGCTAGGGTAGCGGCACCGAGGGGTGCGTTGATGTAGAAACACCATCGCCAGCCAATGGACTGCACGATGGCTCCGCCGAGAAGTGGTGCGGATAGTGTAGCCAGACCTTCGATGGCGCCCAATATGCCGGTGAACATGGGTCGTTTGTGTAAGGGCGTTGATTGTACGAGGATAACGAAGCACCCGGAGAGAAGGCTTGCGGATCCTAGGCCTGCTATAGCCCGACCTACGACCAGCATGGTTGATGTACTGGCTGCACCGCAGAGCAGTGAACCTGCTATGGAGATGGCATTGGCAAGTAGGAAGACGGTCTTGATAGAGAAGAGCTTGTACGCCTTGCCAAAAACAAACTGGAAGGAACACTGGCAGAGTCTGAAGGCAGAGGAATACCATCCGACGTCTGCAACAGTGTGGAAGTAGTCTGTTATGCTAGGTACGGCTGTAGCGACGATGTTCATGTCTATACTGCTTAAGATTAGGACGGCAGCTAGGGTAAGCATGAGGAGCCCGAATTTGGTGCCGCTGGGATACTCGGCTTCTCCATGCAGGCTGGCACTATCGGCTATGGCGTCGAAGGTGGCTGCCGGTCTGCTTGTAGGACCGGACAATTCATTATTGTCTGTATTGCCTGAAACGCTTGTCGCGTGTTGTTGGTCGGTACTGCCTCCTGTCACTGTCGATGTCATTGTTGTTAGCAAGTTCTCCTAGACTAGAATGGCGTTCCAATTCATGGAAGTTGGAGATAATTGCTACAACCCCTGCTGACTGGACCGGCGCTTGGATTGGCCATAGATAAATCACGTGCGTAAGGATTGAAGTACCCTCTTGAGAATATAAGTATGCACTTATACAGACCCAACCTGACATTTTTGTTGACCAATCGCCACTCAATATCGCCACTCAATATTCAGGAGTCAGGAATTCAATTGAACATGGGGTGCCGAAGCAGGAACATGTGATGGGCACAATGAGGGATCTATCTATGGGCATCAACGGTCAACACTGGCGGCACTCTAAAGAAGGCTGGTTGAGCATTCAGTGATGGACTGTGGACATTGGATTTATTGGCCAAATGTAACAGGATTCTCCACCAAAGCCCTTCAGCACGTGTTTTCCTAATATCCTGGCACTGCCCAGGTTTCATCGCAATATCCGTGCCCTCAGATCGAAGTCTCTGGTGACTCTCTGGGCCTCAGCTGAAAGTGGATCCACGTCATGGGTTTTCACGCCGCGTATTCGAACCCGGATTGTCCAGATGCAATATATGATAACCTATATTCCCTTTGCTCTACACGGATTCTCTCTTCGCCGTCGCACCTGACAAGTTGATACATATCTTTCTTGCGATCAGCCTAGAGCACTTTGCGGCTCGAAACTCGAAAAATGACTCGACTCCGATTCCTTTCCTTCTTGCCCCTCTTTGGCCACCTGGCGTTGGGAGACTATCTCACCTACGACAGCCTCTGTCCGGATAAGGACACCGAAACCGTCACCTTGAGAGGAGGTGACTATACTGTTTCCTGTGGTAGATACTTCCCGTTCTAGGTGGATGGTGACCGAGTCGACAGCGGTACCGCTTCGCCCGAGGCATGTTTCGAGCTGTGCAGCCTGAGCTCGGACTGTGATGCCATATTGCCAGCTGTAGCACAAACTGATCGAGACTTGTGTTCTGGCACCAGCATGAGATCCAATGTGTGAGAACACCGTTGGCATGTAGCTGAAAGCTTCTCAACGAGTCCGTGTACAATTCGCTTGGTAGGATTATGAATGGGAGATCGACTACCGTCTGACCTGAAAGCCGACTGGTGATGGACAGTCTAGTGTTCAGCCAACTCACGGGTTCGCCGGGAAAAAGGTAGTGAAGGAAACTAAACACATCCTCACTGCACGTATACGAAGAAAATAGATCAGGGCCTCCCCACTCAAGAAAGCAGTAATGGTCGCGAGTTGGAAAGAGAAGACAATGTATACTCAATGGCAAGCTGGTCGGGCCGCAGTATAATAGCGATGATCGAAATGATAGCGTCGGAGGGGATTGCTCCTGCTGTTCACGGGAATTCCCAGCATTCAGCGCCAAATGGCCGGGGATTGAAAGATCTGTAAGACCCAAAATAAGATCTTCGGAACAAACTGAGTCTTCCGACTCAAAGATGCGCATTCCTGGATCATTCCCTACGACGGATCAGCTCCTTGCTTGTACTACGTTATACTGCTCCTACCTACAGAATGGCGTTTCTCTGGCTTTGTCACGAGGCAGTAAAAGCTATTCCACCCTATCAACTAACTGGAGCCGCGACCACTGTTTTGCATCGTCGCCATACTTGTATGCTGCTAGATGTTGTAGATGAGAAATACAAAGACTAGACCAGGACACACTCTGAGTCCATTTGAGTAGGGCTATAGAGAGTTCTTGTGTCATTGTAGGCATACCCACGGACATCAGCATCACCAAAGGAAGACATATGGGCGAGCAATCACAGTTTTCTGGTCCCGTCTGGGTTTCTAAATCATAATCAAGGCTCATAGCATCGCTAGGATCTCTCGTGACACTTGGAATTGGGTTTTGAGTGGGGCAGATTGAACTTGGCTCCGTTTCAGGTGAAGATTGAGAGTGGGCGTGGCTGCGAACTCTGCTTTCCCTTGGACCTGACGACCCTAAACATGTCAGTAAAAATGCCATGCTTGGATCAAGCTCCCTTACTATATATTCTGTCTCTTTTATACTTAACAGTAGAAGGCTTTTCAAGAATACGCTGCACGTCACTCGCAATCAAATGGCTTGAATGACGCGATTTATGAGGTCTTCGGTCGATGCTGGCTTCAAGTAGCGCTACTGCTTCCTCCCTTTATTTCTCTTTGCTTAATGTGGCGAGGAGAGAAAGCATATGATTACTCCATGATTGAGGGGCAATATGTGACGGTATGACCTCTGTCACCGGCGCATTCCAGTTGCTTTCAATCAGATCCATATTTGAGAACTTCTCTCTGTCGGATCGTTTGAATCGACGAATGATAGGCCTGATGATGTCATAGTACCCAATGACTCTTCTATATTGCTCTAGGTTGTCGTACTGAATGGACCAGAGATCCTTCTCGCATAGGTGGCACCAGGCGGCATATATCACTTCGGCCATCCTTTCATCGGCCTCATGACCAATTGTGAGCAACTCTGTTAGCGGATCTAACTGCTTAACCTCTGAAAGTCCATCCAATTGCTGCTCAAGAATTTCACTGGCGCTGGATAGGGGCTTTTCGATTATGGTTTGGCGAAGGGTTTCCATATTTGGAGATAATTTTCTCGTGTGATCTCACAAGAAGGAGTGGTCAGAGAAATTGAATTTAGGATTATTACGGGTTAGAATTAGAACTTCCTGAGCAACGTTGATTAAAATTTGGACAAGACCCAAAATCTTCTACTCTGGTTGACCCCAGTGAGTTGTTGGTACGGTGGAGAGTTGCAGGGATTTGAATTCTTGAAGCGGTAGGTCTCCCATACGGCACCGCCCTCTTTAGATCGCCATGGTGAAGCCTTGAATGCAAACGCTGAATGGCCATCTGAGGTATTGTTAATCATATGAACAGCAGAAAACAAAGGATTCAGATCCCTGCACCTTCCCACTGTACTAACAAAAGTACTGGGGTCAATTGTAGTAAGTCAACTTCATTGACGTAGGTCCCCTGACAGACTGATTTCCACAAATCCGTCACATGGTAGTGTCGTCTGAATGATGCAGCGTCTTGCACTTGCGGAATGAGTATGTGTACATATGTTGTGTTACCCTCTTATCAATTACATCGGAGCTGGTCAGGGTGCTAGTTACGTAAAATGAAAGAGATTACGCAGGCTCCTTAAAGATTGTGTAACACAGTACATGGACTATTGGAGACAAGTCGCACTCGAAGTTGCACAAAGATCAATTATCTACTAGCGCGCTTTATCAGAGCTAGGCGGTTAGGTAATTGGGAAATGGGAAAATTGTAGGACTAGTAGCTTTCATTCCATCCGAAATCTAGTGGTAAGTCCATAGGCATCATGATTGCTTCGAGCGATGAACGTCAACTGACAGGAAGTCTGCAAAGCTCGTGCTTGAACTAGCATCGCAAGGAGACCAATCCGTAAGTGCCTCGGGTTGTTGCTTTTTTTGTGAAGGGAACTAGCGGTGAAGGGAACTGGCGGTGAAGATTGCTTTATCGTTTCCTGTCCCCTCATTGGGCTTCATAATGCTAATCGATTAACCTTGGGTCAGTCATTGTTGGAAGAATTACACATATAACGGAAGCAGCTTAACTTATGGACTCTCACTCGCCTTGACAGGAACTATGAAGTTGTACATAATGGAGAGATATTAGCAGCTTTGTATCTGGCAGGGATCAGCTTATGAACATTTTATTTCTATCTGGACCCATCATCTGCGATATCAAACCACTATTTTATTTATACTTGTCCGGCAATCATATGAACTTGGAGGCACATAAAAAATGTGTGACACTTCTCTTTATCCATGCACACTGAGGCATACTCGTCTCTCTCCCAGTATCTATATATTCTCCTATTCGTACCTCTGGATAGGGACATTTGTCCGATGAAAGAGATGAAATGAAGGCCGAGGGGCAGTACGTTTTTGTGCCTGGAACGGGATGGTATCTGGACTCCCAAGACTATTTTTATCGAGGGTCTACTCAAGGATTGAGCACTAAATTTGTCAGCTTTCTACAAAATCAGGTATAGTACTTTCTCTTTGACTTAGAAGTCGGTTCGCTTCTGGAGACTTATTGACTCCTCCGGGGGCTCCAAGAAACAGACTTCTCTTATGTCTATTTACTTACCGCTCCTAAAATTTTGGGATATTCATTCAGCCCTGCAACCTACTGGTATACGTATTCTGCGGAACGGACATTGACGGGTCTTGTACTTGAAGTGAACAATACCTTTCAAGCATGTCTTGCATATCACGTAAAACTATCAGAAAAATCAACCATTGAGCGCGATGCACTAACAATGGTGGCCTCGAAATGCATCAAGGAGCTCTATGTCTCCCCATTCAACTCTCTGGAAGGAGAGTACTCCATTTCTATAATAGATCCCCTGGCCACCATATCCGGGGAAATCCCCTTAATAGCGGGATTGCATTGATGACCCCCGAAGGTAAGATTAAAATGGTAGCGAGCATTCGTTCCAAGGGGCCAGGGATCATCTGTCTGCTCTCTGCTAAAGAGAGAAGTATCGAATCGCTCTCTCATGGCGATGGGTCGGTTTCCTTATTGGCCCGCGCATTGTTTTTGAAGCGATGAAACTACGGTTACGGAGAAGACTCCTGATGCAGCCCCAGCCTCTAGCCCCAAAGGAGGGCATAGGTTGAATGGCCACTAACATAGAACAAGGGTTAGAATGTCGTTTCCGTCAATATCTACGACACCTTGTCGAAAGTACTACTATGCCCATTACGGTGCGGTATGGATCCACAGGAATAGCAGGGGGCCTTGCCGCAGACCCCGCAGAAAGTATGCAGCCTTCTTCGGCTTGAAACAAATCATCTGATGATGTGCAGTTTCTGGATTTTCATGTGCTATCGCCGGAGTTTAACACCAGTTTTGCCCGTAACAGAGCTTCCGATCCAGAGGCAGTCGTTCAGGTGATCATCGGCTGCTCGTTGGTAACGGTGTCACACCAGGAACTACTTCACAAATTCATTTGCCAGGAAGGGGACCACCTTCACAATTAGTGCATTATGCAGATGCAATGAAAAAGATCTGCTATCGGTAGTACCAAGGAATGGCATCCTTTTCTCCGTAGGCAGCGATGAGATGTGGCCATACCTTCTCTTTGACTGAATAAACCTCGTCAACCAGACTTGCTTGGCTCACATCTTAGCCAGTCGAGTAAGTACTCACCGTATATTGACCTAAATATTATACTTGTCTCTGCACAACACATCCGGGGATCCACATTTCCCGGATGTTAGGCATAATGGGATATACATCGGTCACTCTATTGTCGTTGGACGTATCCATTAAAAAAGGAACGAAAACTAAAACAGAAAGGACAACCAGACAGCCTTGGAAATATCGAGATTTAAGTTTAGAGGTGACGTTGCCTGCATGCCTCGACCTAAGCATCCCATAAATTGGATTTATTTAGCTACAGGCGTCTTCCACCAGAACGTGTCCAGCGAACTGCTTCTAGCTTCCCAGTTTATTCCTGTTTCCAGAGATTCCTCCGAACTCCAGATACCGTCACAATGGGCGAAAGAAAGATGAATCTTAAGGTGACAGAAGGGTTACACGACACCCAGCCTGAGAAATTACCAACAGCAGGCCAATCACACCAGGGCGATTTTTTAACGACCCTTTGGTCCTGGTGTAACAAGATCCGTTGGTTCAACTTTACCATGCTGATAACCATTCCTCTTATTGCCTTCCTACAAGTTCCCTGGGTTCCTATTCATCGGAGAACACTAGTACTGTCGATTATATACTACGTTACAACTATAATATCCGTGACCGCAGGTGAGTCCTCGAGTAGCGGGTAGAGTGCAGTCGACGTATGGGTATATGTAGCATTCAGACCAACAATATCGTACTGATATGTCAATAACTCTCAGGATACCACCGTTTATGGGCCCATCGATCCTACTCCGCCTCCCCAACACTCAAGTGGCTGCTAGCAGCATTTGGTGCAGGAGCGGTGCAAGGTTCTATCAAATTCTGGGTTCGAGAACATAGAGCCCACCATCGATATACTGACACAGATCAGGACCCATATAATGTCAAGAAGGGTCTGCTGCATGCACATATTCTCTGGGTGATCACGAAACAGCCCCGGAAAAACAACAGGGTGGATATATCCGATCTCCAGAATGACTGTGTGGTGGTGCTGCAGCATAGGTACTACTTCCTTGCTGCTTTCTTCATGGGATGGGGATTCCCAACCCTAGTCGCTGGCCTGGGCTGGAACGACTGGTACGGAGGCTTCCTCTATGCAGGCATCCTTCGGTCTTTTTTTGTTAACCAGGCGACGTTCTGTGTGAATTCATTGGCTCATTGGATTGGGGCACAGCCCTACGATGACCGCCGCTCATCCCGGGATCATCTCATCACTGCTCTCATCACGATGGGAGAGGGATATCACAATTTCCACCATGAGTTTCCCTCCGACTACCGCAATGGGATTGAATGGTATCAGCCTGATATTACCAAGTGGGCTATCAGGCTCTGCGAACAACTGGGACTAGCCTACGATTTGAAACGTTTCCGGCAAAATGAGATTGGTAAGAGCCGGCTACAGCAAGTCTTCAAGAAAATGAATGTTGAGAGAGAATCCCTTGACTGGGGGCCGCCACTCAGTAAGCTACCTGTTATGGAGTGGGATGAGTATCATGATAAGGTTACGCAGGGTCATCTTTTAATACTAATCGGTGGAGTCGTTCACGATGTGTCGAAGTTTATTCATGAACACCCTGGAGGCGAGTCGATGATGCGCTTGGCACTAGGGAAGGATGCTACCACCTTGTTCAATGGTGCCGTCTATCACCATTCAAACGCCGCAAATAATATCCTGGCAACTTTACGAGTGGCCATCCTTCGAGGTGGATGTGAAGTGGAGATCTTCAAGCAACAGAACAACAGCATTGATATGTTAGCCAAGGAAACTCCGGTACATGTCCAGAATCAACAAAAATCCATCGCTGGCCACTTGTGATGATTATTCCTTGTTGATATCATCTTGAAAGGATAGATAGGTAGGAAGTATTAGAACCAACGTGCTTGCACACGCGAAGAGCAGGATCCAAGATGTGTTTTGGAGCGAATTGTTTTTCGAACCCTAAGCTTGGAGATCTAATATAATTATTCATACTAATTGCTCTTGTGGATTGGCTCTTTTTGTCATAAGCAGCCTATACCGGCAAAGTCCCTGACTTGCTCCCGCAACTGGGGTTTGATAACTAGTCTCTCTACAACAGGACATGGAATGCAGTTTCAGACGGGTCTGTAAGAGTAGGACATGGTATCACGGTTCCCAAATAGGCTGATGATCCACCACCACTCGCGAGATTGTCAAGCTGGAGTGAATCGCGCCAGGGAATTCGCCGTTCTGCGAGCGATGCATGTCTCTGCTTGTATCGGAGAAGGGACTAGTGAGGTTACTAGAGAGGGCGTGTGAGGGGGGTGTTTTCCGGACTCCTGGGAGAGGGACGGCGGCAGCGGATGTGAATGGTATTTGAGATCGCATCTTTCCTTGTCTTAATTCATCTCTTTTCTCAACCTCTCTTTCTTGTTGCCAACTGTGTGACTGTTGGTGGACTCTACGCTATCATTCCCTACGTACTTATTATCATGCACCATGGCGAGCTTTGGGCCTGAAGAAGTGTATCTGCTCGGCCGCAGTCCAGACGAAACTGTGAGGTATGATACATTTGAACCATCATGTCACGCTAAACTACATACAAAGTATAGACAGAACATCAACGACAGGACAGACTGAACAACCAGCAGGAACTTTTCGTCGAGCTCATGGGGGACACTCCCATCCACCCCTCCATCCCCACCGAGAACATCCATGCCGTTGCGGATGTCGCTACCGGCACGGGGTACGCCTATTCCCCACTATACGCTGGAGAACCACAAACCCTGAACGTTATAAAAAAGGCAAGAAAGACGAGGTCTAACAAGATGAAAGAATAAGGATCTGGCTCGCCTCCGTAACAGACACCCTCCACCCCACCCCCTCCAACCGCCTCTACCTCCACGGCTTCGACATCTCGCCCGTGCAATACCCGTTCACGAAGGACGTCAACCCCTCCCATGAAACCTATTTCTCGGTACATGACATGCGTGGCCGGTTTCTCGAGGAACAACGTGGACGGTACGATCTTGTGCACCTGCGATTGTTAGCCGTGGCATTAAAAGAGGAAGATTATCCTGCTGTGATTCGGAATGTGGTCATGTTACTGAGTACGTCCTCCTCGCCATGCATAACCTCGGCCTACCCCATTCGCCCCCGGCCGTGATCGAGTCGGTGGCCAAACAGACTGACCTGCAAGGTGTCTCCCGCTATACGTACAGCACCCTCGACAAGCCGCATTTGCATGCCACCGCCAGCGCATGCATCCTCCGGCTCCTGCATGCGTTGTTTCCCAAATTGATTGTGAGTACGAGTGATGGAGTGGAGAGGGAGAAGGCGCTCGAACAGGTGCAACGGTTGTTGAAGTTTGAGGGACATGTTGGGCGGGTTTCGCCGTTAGCGAATTTACAGGTTATTGTTGGGAGAAACCCCATGTCTTCCTGAGCTTTCTTATGAAGGGGTTTATGTGTTTTTCTTGTTTATTTTGTTTGAATTTTTTGGGGGGTGGGTTTCTGGGGTGGAGTAGCGCTCCCAAAAGAACATGTTGAGCATCGCGCTGGTCAAGGCTTATGATGGGACTAGATGCTAAAATAGATGGTGTTCCCACTATTATAGTTAACTAAGAACTTAACACAACCCTTTTATCTCAAAGGGCCTTATTCACATCCAAATTATTTATGAATATCCACGAATAATCACATTCTTTTCGAAGCCCTTTTTTAGACCAACACATCCCAAATAATACCATGCAACGGTCTCATTGTCTTATTCTAGTATTAGTGCATATCGCGTAACTTGGATCCGACACCATAAATATATGATGGGCATCATTCCTCCAGCCAGGTAATCGCGAATGGGCTACTGCGATCGAATCGATCTGCGCTGACGGCTATTCGCTGCCGCCCTGTATTATACTTAGGGGCGAGGTTTATATCGCTGGTTGGTTTAAAACCAAATCTCCCTGGGGATTGCCAAATCGAAGTATCGTATAATGGCTGGACTACCAATGAAATAGGCCCTGCGCTGGCTTCAAAAGATCTTCATTCTATATACCAATTCGCATATACGAGGGCGATTTCGGCTATTGATCCTTAATGGGCACGGTAGCCATCTTACACCTCAATTTAATCGAAAACCTGTGCTGAAAATGATATTATACCGCTTTGTATGCCTTTACATTTGTCTTACTACAACCGCTCCGTGGCTAAGCTGTTTCAGAGGGTGATGGCGAGTAACTAGCCCTAGCCGTCTGGCTATAGATTCTTGTTTCCGCTAGAGAAAACGCCTGTATGGTCATAGTCTACTAGGTTGATTGCAACAGGCTAATTGAACTTTGATTGATTGATTGATTGGCTGATTGAGCATCAAATCTGTCATCACCGTCTTGGCCTATCTGAATGGAGCGAGCACCAAATGCACGTTGATCGCTTCACGTAAGGCCTCGAAGGAGGCGTAAGTGAGCAATGTCACAAGGAAAACATTGGAGTTTTCTGGTGCGTAAAAAAATTCTGGCTGGTTATAGATTATGTGGTGGAAAGAAGGAATAGGACACAGGATTTATATAAATATTGAATGACACAGTTGGGTCAAGGTGGTCAGAAAGCGATGATCCAGGTGAAGAGAATGAGGGTGCCCAAAAACATGCTTGTTGAACATAGGCTGGGTAACTTGGAGAATGTCTCAAGTTGGAACAGGCTTTGGAGGGTGGTGTTGAAGTTGGGGTTGGGTGATGAATAGGGGGGTTCATTTATGAGCAACTAGTACCAGGTGTTATTTGATTCAACTTGATAATGGGGCCTTTTTCTGTTTGTCTGTGAGTTGCAAGTGGTTGACGGCTATGTTGTGCAATGTGAATTTAGGCGGATTGTACTAGAACATAAGCCCGTTCCTATCGACGAGCTGACGGGCCCCTTCTCTACTGGTAGTCACTGGTCATTAGTACTAGCCATCCCGACCGGCGTGGAACAGTGGGCCAGAGTGAAAGGATGAGTCTCAATACTGCAACTGCCCAGATCAATCCGCTTGGTCGATAGTTGTTGCGCAAAATGAGTCTAACAGTGTAGGTTGCTTAGGAAGATGGTTCCCATCGCTGCCTAAACCCTATATCTGGTTAGAAAGATATGGTCTCGTGCTGCTATAGTACCATATTTACTCGCATATTCCCTACGTATGCGGATGTTCGTGGGAACCAATGAGCACCATAACCAGTATCGCAGGTAGGGGTCGTCGCGCCACTGTCATAACGGCCAGGGCCTTATTTCATCATTTTGCGGACGAGCGTCATCAGGCGCTGCCATCAGATTTTCGATTGCCCGAATTCATTGGCTGCGGGTTGTGGTACCATCTTGGTTTCAGAACACGATGATATCATAGGGGGATGGAGCGTCCCGTGGCGACTTTCGATATTGGATACATGTGCTATGTACCCTGGTATTTAAAAAGAACAGTTATCACAACATTTGGCAATGGATTCGATCTGTACTGCATCATAAGTCTGGTTAAGAATCATACCTTCCATTCAAAATATAAGTTTCTTTCCTCCAAAAACTTCCTCACTGAAATAGCTTTGCTGCCGCGATACCGACGTCATGTCTTCTGGCAACGATAACAACAACAACCGTAAGTGATCACCGACCCTCGCACCTACTGTTCTTATGTTATAATCTCCCTTGTTTGTGCTTTGACTTAACTAGTCGGTCGCGTTATGAAGTTCTCGCACCCCTGGGTACCACATCCCATAATACCTCGATACCTTTACACACCCGTTGCTAATGCGTAAGTATATAGCGAACCTCCTTGGAGGCGTCGGCGATACCCTAGGAAAGACCGTGGGCGGACTCGGAGACACCGTCGGAAGCACTGTAGGAGGACTCGGAGACACTGTGGGAAACACTGTGGGAGGACTCGGTCAGACTGCCGGCGGTGCGACTCAGGGTCTCGGAAAGACTGTTGGCGGTGCCACTGAAGGCCTGGGCAACACAACCCGGGGCGTCGGACAGTCGACTGGAGACATCCTTAGCAGCATCAATGGCGAGAGGTCCGGTGCGAATACTGAGCGGAAGTAAGGATGACGGCGAGGTCCGGTTGAATATGACATGACTTGATGAATCTGCTATGTAATGGGCTTGACGGATGTGAACTTTTTTCTCGCTCAAACGGGTATGGTTTAATGACTGATTTGACTGTATCTATATGAATTGCGTGTTTGCAGGACAAATTGACTCTTTGTGGATGAGTAAAATGCAAAAGCATGAAGTGTAAACTACTAGAAACTCGCAAGAACGCGATCGGAACCGAGCGGGAGGGTGTTCCGAGGCATCTGCTGCTCGGGTTCCTATTCCACTAGTAGAATCTCGCTCCGCTTCGGAGGGCGGAGCTTTCCGCGGGGAACTCCCCGTTGAATCTGACGTAGCTGTCGGTAGAGAAATAACTTTCGCAATAATGTCAAGAAATCGGGTGATCATCATGTTGACTTGACAAGCCGACAATCATAGCCGCAATTGGTGCTGGAGACAGACAAATGGTTACCTCGGCCAATTGTATTTATGAATATCGCACAGTAAACAGGGAAACTTGTGTTCCGGAGAATGTGGGGGGTATCTTTATCGCGATTGAAACATCATCACTTTACTCCCCTTGATTATATACCGTTCATCCAGCTAGCTATCTTTATCATGAATATCTCATTCAATAACTATTTTAGGTAACAGCGAACGAACAACAGCTCGAAGTATCACATCACCTGATTAGGAAGGTCAAACAGGATTGCCTTCCTCTTGTAGAGAATCAGCAAAGACAGCCGCTTTCCCAATCAGGCAAGAAATACGCCCGGATAGGATTTCTAGGATGGGGATCGCGGAAGGTCCAGACGGCCAACCAGTAGTACTGAGTATTAGTGCCTGCAGGGCTGGCGGTCTGCAGAAAGGTAGAGAACTTCTGGCCAGGTCCATTGACTAAGATTGATTATCACTTTATCAGACCACAACAGCTAACTAAATCACTAGCGGATAAACTAACCTCGATTCTTAGCGCATTCTGTAGACTCCCGGGAGCTTTGCATGCCCACCTCCGGGCCGTTTCAGTGCTCGTCTAGGTGGTTACGTGTTAAGGATCTCCGTCCACACCACACCACTTATATTAGTGAACTATCTAGAACATCCTCATCCTCCACATCGTCCTCAACATAGATAATAGTCAATTCCCCTTCAGTGAAAATAACGCGGGGAAATCTAGACTTGGTCGACATTCTGACATCGAGATGGTGCTGATTGGTGGACACCCCTGGCGGAATTGGCTGCAACTGTGCGGGGTAAATTAGCGTATCGGAAAGCTCCTTTTGGGCGATTTTCTTTGTTTCGTGTTTCCGAGAAAAAGTCAATGTTCGAATATCTCTCTGTGTTCCTTTCGTTGCGGCCAGAAGCATTGAGATAGCTTCAGGTCAACATAGGGTTCTATAAGTTGAGCTCAACTATCAATTGATCAGGTCAATGGCATAAGTCATAGTTCCTGAACCGGCGGGAAATCGGACGGGCAGCGGGACTGATCGAGGCAGGCGATTCCGTGGAACCACCGCGTTGACCTTCCCCGGCATCATCATTGGCTGTTGCTGCACGGGGTTCCCCATCTGCCTTCCTCGGCGACGAGCCACCCGCCTTCAAATCTTTCAATGGATCGTCTGCTCTTTTCCTTATAATCTCTTATTCCCTTGCCGCTGCTGCTTCAGTTCTTGCAATTACTTCTTCCTTCACTGGGACCTCGCTCCGTGGCTTTTATTAACTCCCCGCATTCCTCCCAAGGACCTCCTTGTCCCCATCAACGAACCACTGCTAGCTCTCCAATCTACTAAAACCCCGCATTCAGCTATCTTAGTCCGCCGGACAACGCCTTTCTCTCCCCGCCTCGTCTCCATCTTCAATTTATCACTCTTGCAACATTTTCAATTAGCTCTTATCACAAACCGTCACCATGGGCAAGGACGACCAACCCAGTACGTCTCATTAGTCCGGATCTCATCTTTTATGAAAGTGAATTGAAAACTAACTCTGCTGCCCTGTCTTCTAGAGACTTACCGCTACAATGAGAAGCCCATCTACACTACCTCCAATGGCTGCCCAGTATGCTGCGCCGACATCATATGGTCCACTTATGGATAACATACTGACACATCTCAGGTTATGGACCCCCAGGCTGCCCAGCGCGTTGGCCGCAACGGGCCCCTTCTGCTCCAGGACTTCCACCTGATCGACCTCCTCGCACACTTCGACAGAGAGAGAATCCCAGAGCGTGTGGTCCATGCCAAGGGTGCTGGCGCCTTTGGTGAGTTCGAGGTCACCGATGACATTAGCGACATTACCGTCATCGACATGCTCAAGGGCATTGGCAAGAAGACCAAGCTGTTCACTCGCTTCTCCACCGTCGGTGGTGAGAAGGGCTCTGCGGACAGCGCGCGTGATCCCCGTGGCTTCGCTATCAAGTTCTATACTGAAGAGGGCAATTGGGACTGGGTCTTCAACAACACCCCTGTCTTCTTCCTCCGTGATCCCGCCAAGTTCCCCATCTTCATTCACACCCAGAAGCGCAACCCCCAGACCAACCTCAAGGATGCCACCATGTTCTGGGACTACCTTTCCACCCACCAAGAAGCTGTTCACCAGGTCATGCACCTCTTCAGTGACCGTGGTACGCCTTACTCTTACCGCCACATGAACGGCTACTCCGGCCACACTTACAAGTGGATCAAGCCTGACGGCACCTTCAACTACGTCCAGATCCACCTGAAGACCGACCAGGGCAACAAGACCTTCAACAACGAGGAGGCCACTCGCCTGGCGGCTGAAAACCCCGACTGGCACACCCAGGACCTGTTCGACGCTATCTCGCGTGGCGAGAACCCCTCATGGACTTGCTACGTCCAGGTCCTGAGCCCCGAGCAGGCCGAGAAGTTCCGCTGGAGCGTCTTTGACCTGACTAAGGTCTGGCCTCAGAGTGAGGTTCCTCTGCGCCGCTTCGGCAAGCTCACTCTGAACAAGAACCCCGAAAACTACTTCGCCGAGGTTGAGCAGGCCGCCTTCTCCCCCTCGCATATGGTCCCGGGCGTGGAGCCCTCTGCCGACCCTGTCTTGCAGTCCCGCCTCTTCTCCTACCCTGACACCCAGCGCCACCGTCTGAGCGGCAACTACGAGCAGATCCCCGTCAACTGCCCGCTCCGCTCGTTCAGCCCCTGGCACCGTGATGGTTACATGAACGTCCACGGCAACTACGGAGCCAACCCCAATTATCCCTCCACCTTCCGTCCTTACAACTACCAGCCCGTGAAGGCTAGTCAGGAGCACGAGAAATGGGCCGGTTCCGTCGTTGTTGAGCAGCTGCCCGTCACCGATGAGGACTACGTGCAGGCCAACGGCCTTTGGCAGGTCTTGGGTCGCCAGCCCGGCCAGCAGGACAACTTTGTCCACAACGTTTCCTCTCACTTGTGCGCCGCCCACGAGCGTGTTCGCAAGGCCACCTACGGCATGTTCCATCGTGTGAACCCCGATCTGGGTGCCCGCATTGAGAAGGCTACCGAGGCCAAGGCTGACCACTCCAAGTCTTCCCGTCTGTAAAATATAGTATCTTACCCTTGTTCTTATTTAGCCTTGTTCTTTAGTCCACGCGCATAGTCATCATATAACGATGAATGTTAGATAGATATGATACCTATTTACTCAATTGACGCTTCATTTAGTCATGCTTGTTTGACATAGCCACGAATGTAAACGAATAGTAAGATAGTTGCGCAATTGATAACCTTTCTATTTGAACTGAACTTGAACTCCTTCGCATGTTCACTCGGTAGGAATGCAGCAATAACAGACTCCAAGCTAGGCGAAGATCATTTATCGTGACAGGCCGCATCGGGAATCCCGATTGCGGAGAAAGTGTGACTGCCACACGTGATTGGCGCGTGACGTCCGCCGCTTTTGGGTTTCGCCGACGCTTACTCCGCCGCGCAATCATGAGCCACTATTGATTGTTGACTTTCCTCTCCTCTTCTTGGAGTTCTGACGTCTTTTGATACCTGGCCTGCGAGGTAGTTTGCTCATGATGTGTGGTTTGGACAACTAATCCCACCCAGATCTAGTTCTTGCCCTCTCCCCCTGACCCGTCCGTTCGGTTGGGGTTGTCAGATTAAAGTTCCAGGTGTCATCTATACGCACCGGCCCCAACTGCTGCATTCGTATGAGCCGATCATATGAGCAGCTGAAAGCCCAACACTTGTCGGACTGATACCCCATTGTCACTCTTTCTAAGATAACCATGTCTGCCAATGCTGCCGACGCTGGCGCTGCAAAGCCGCGCCTACACACGGCCCGCTCGTTCCCAAGGATGGACACTCCCGAGACGAGCCCTTTCGTTCGTTCCAGAGCCAAGACCGTTCAGTCCGTGGCAATACCAGAGTCGGTAGACGCCGAGGCACTCCCGTTACCCTTGTCCACGGCCGAGGAGGACCGGAATAGCAGCCCTGACGTGTTCGAGAAATCAGGCTCTGCCGACTTAGGCTACGGCGACGATGCGCAGCAGAGTGAGGAGACCTCGGTGCTCTCTCGAGGTAGCTTGGGTCACACGGAGGAACTACCAATAGAGCTCGCAAGTATGACAGACAGGTACAGTCGGGCCTCCACTCTCCCTACATGTTGATGTGATGCTGATGTTATTACTGGCAGATTTGTCCACTCTCTTACTGCCAAGGTACACTCCTCTCCTCCCACAATCGAGAAAGTATCGAGCCGGTTCCAAGAATTCTACGTCCGAGCCGAATCACACATAGCTACTCATATCTCTACTCTTGCTTCCCGGATAAACCGTGACCCTTCTCCGTACCGTGCCGCGCAGGGCAAGTCTAGTAATACAGGTTCAGATGGCCGCCAGATGTTGACAGCATCAGAAGTCACTGAAAGGAGGATTGCGCGAAAGCATCTTGCAACCAAGCGTGTTGCCTTGGAAGAAGCCGTGGAACGGAGAGCTTGTGAGACTATCTACGACAAGCTATGGAGACATAAAAGTACATTGGATGAAATCAGAGACGAGAAACTGCGCTCAAAGACAGCGGCTCTCTCTGTAGTTGGCATTAATCTGAAGGATCTCGGTGTCGAGATCGACCTGAGTGCTATCGATGAAGACAAGCAAAAAGAAGCGGATGAATGTCTTTCTGCTGCGCGAGACTGCTTGGCAAAGATGAACGATGACAAGTATCCTTTGGGCAAACTTCAACAGCTTGCCGCCGCGCACAAGGCCATAGTTGATGCCTTGACTAAGCTCCTGCCATCATCCTCTTCCGCTGACGAGATCTTACCTACCCTGATCTATTCCTTGATCACTTGCCCTCCAGAGGGAATCAACGTTATAAGCAACCTACAATTCATCCAGCGGTTTAGGTCGTCCAATAAGATAGACGGTGAAACCGCATATTGCTTGACTAACCTGGAAGCGGCTATTAGCTTTCTTGAGAATGTAGATCTGTCCGAATTGCGCGGCGAGGAAGCCTTCGAAGGCCAGACCAAGGCATCCAATGATGATTCAACTGCGGCCGGAAAGGTCGACTCTCTCCCGTCTCCTACTGCCACCAAGGAAGCAGCAGTATCGTCGGTTACACCAGTGACAGCCTCACCTGAACTCTCCAAGCCAGTTGGACAAGAAGCGTCCGATAGCTTGCCCAGACCTCAGTCATCGGCAAGCACCCAACAACGGCGGCTGAACAACCTCTTCCAGCCCCCTGCCAAGGTGCTCGGCGCTGCGAACGATGCTGTTCGTAACACTGCCGACCAAGGGCTCAAGAACATTGGAGCATCCTTAGACAGCAGCTTCAACTTCCTGTTTGGCCGCCTCAAAGAGTTGCAGTCCAATCAGTTCCCTGTCAAAGATGGGAATCCGGTACTGCCCAAGACCTTGGCAGATGCTCGACGTCTGGTCACCAACCCTATATCTACGGAACCTAGCCTGAACCAGGACGAGAATGTCGGAAGAGAGTCTCGTCCCGTTGATCGCCCGCAATTAAGGCGCATCGGTTCGAAGGCGGAGGACACATTCCTAGGGCTGGTCAGCGGTCAGCGAACACCACGTGACCGGAGTGTCGAGAGTGTTCGGACTCAGGGAAGCTCCAGGAAAACAACTGTCTCCCAAGGCCCGCAGAAGGAAGAGTCCCAGGCTTCCCCAGCAAGCGCAACTACGCAGCCGCCTACACCGCTTGAATCGGTGCGGAACTTTGGAAACACCCTCAACCCACTCAACCACATTCCCGGTATGATCCGCAGCTTCGGACGTGGTGCCCCTGGAACTCCTGACACTCCTGGATCAATGCCATCGCCCAACACTCCCACCGAAAGAATCAGAGCCTCTATCCTCTCCCGCGAGACTTCCTCATCGAGCGTGCCCAGCGCTCCATCTCGTGTAGAGCGGGTGGACCCACCTATTCAACGTTTCCTCCAGATGCAAAATGCCAACGAGCTTACCATCGCTGATGTATCTGTTTTGCTGGATGACTACAAGCGCCTTGCAGCAGCGCTATCGAAACAGAACCACTGAACTTGACTGAATTTCTTCCTCTCCGATTTCTTTTCCTAAAGCATATGATTCCCACATGGTTGTTCATACTATCTTCCTCTTCGTTGTATCCTTTTTTTTTCTTCATGGCGATTTCGCGTTCCGTGTTTCTGTGTGTGTTATATCATTGAGATTGTAGACCACTGCTGGTGTTCAGTGTTTTCAAGTGTCCAGGTTCAGTCAGGTCTTGCATTTGCAGCCATTTGGGTCAAAGGCATAGCTAGCAGTGCTAGTGTTAATCAAATGCAGATTTTACTTCAAGCTATGAGCTGGGAGAGTATAGGTGTGGGGTATAATGATTTTGCTAATTGATGATGGTGATATGAGAATTGTTCAGAAAAGACCATACATAACGAAGCAGTAATTGAAACATGGTATAGTAAGAAAGGCGGTCATCCTCACGTAAGCTCTATCATAAAACCTTGAATATCCCGAGAAACAACAACAAACAAATACAGTCTGAGTGAGCCCTATAACAATAAATGAAAGCTTTAATGTTGGTGATAAAGTGCATATTCCAGCCCATGCAAGCACATGCTACAACCCCATTAGAAATATAAAAAAAATAAAAAAGAATCAAGACAAGCGAGTACATCATTCGCCGAAGAAGGCTATTAAATATATGCAAGTCAACCAATATCACCTATATCAAATCATAATAAATCAAGGCGTCCTCCCCCTCAACACCTCCGCCCCTCCACTCCTCATATCCTCCAATTTCTGCGTCAAATCAGCAGACTGCTCCTCAACTACCTCATTCCTCCTTGCAATTTCCGCCTCAAACAACGCCGCCGTTTTCCGTCTTGCGTGGCGGAGATCTTTCATCTTGGAAAGTGCGTTGCTGAATTGATCGATTAGGAGATCGCCGTAATCTTCCCATTCGTTCATCGTGAGCGTGGAGAAGAAGTCGCGGCGGTCTTTGTCTTCGGAGTTTAGTAGGAAGTCAATTTTCTCGTCCGAGGTGGCGTTGGGGCCTGGGTTGGGGGCGGGCGTGGTGGTGGTGGGGGTGGATTTGGCGGGTGCGGTTGGGGTGTGGTCGAAGGGTTCGGATTGGAGGTCCTTGAAGGATTTTTGGCGCAGGATTGCGGGTGGGTAGTCGGATTCGAGGTTTCGTTTTTTGTTTTTGCTGCTGGTGGTGATGGTGATGGTGCTCTTGGTGGGTTGGAAGTCGGGGTCGTCTGAGACGATGCGTTGGACGGAGTTGCGGCGGGCGAAGGGGTCGTTGATTGGGTCGTGGTCATCGTCGTCGACATCTAGGTCGTCGATGTTGGTCATGTCAAAGGTGGTTAGGGGTGGTAGGCTGTCGCGGCTGGTGTTGAAGAGGTGATTGTCGTCGGAGTTGTGGCGCTGGTGGTGGTTTGTGGTGCTGGCAAATCCTGGTTCTTTGCCGGGTTGGGGTCGAGGTCCTGAGGTTCGACGAGTAGGGGTTATGTCCAGTTGTTCTAGGAGAGATGGCTTGGGTGGACTGAATCGTGTCCGTGGCGTTGCTGTCATACTGCGTGGCAGTGTGACTTTCCTGTTGGGTAGAGCCTGTTTTGATAATCTAGCGTCGGATGTGGATTGCCGCAGAGGAGGAGGAGCAGCAGTCTTTGATGGTTCAGGGTATGCTTGTGGTTCTGGATTCTGATATGATCTCCTGCTGGCGGTCCAGAAGCTCTGTAGTCGTTTGCTTAATGGTTCCTCGGTGGAGGATCTGTATCTGCGGGCGTAGTTCCCGTCCTCAGTTGTATCAGATCGTTCATCGTCTCCAGCCATGGAGGTCAATTGACTTGCATCATCGGCGTCTTCTGAATCGAAACCAGCCGATTTCATGGCCTTGTCTCCAAGGTTTTCGTACCATTTGCCATCAAAAGCACGGCGTGGCAATCGAGACGGATGCAGTGGTCTCTCATCCGCTACTGGCGCTGCCTCCTGATATTGAGGAACTGTGGCGGGTCGTAATTGGAATTGAAGTGGAGCATCCTCTGCACCCATGACACTTGTCGCAGCAATAGTCGAGTCGTCGATGCCTTCGACATCGGTGTCAAACATGTCTCTATGCATGCCATTTTCCGCGGGCGCCTGAGGCATCTGCTCGCTAAATGCCGGTGTTGAATAATGCTCCAGGGGAATTGATTTGTTGATTGGCAGGGGCACTGGCGCCACCAGATTTGTTGGAGGGATATCAACCCTTGCTTGTGCGGCTAGAGCCTGTCGTGACTGGTTTGATGCTTCAGTTGTGCGTGGTCGAGGCTGGCCAGCCTCTTTTGAGTGCACATAATCGCCCACTCCCATGGTTACCCGAGTCTGAGCGGGGTGAGGAGATGGAAGGGTAGTATTCAACAAAGTGCAAGTGGAGAAGGGGCTGATCAATATGCCGGGATGATTGTGGATGACTTGCAATTTACAATTGTTATCTAGAATGTGTGGGTCCGGTCATGGTTGTGAGGTTATTGAATTGATGGCTCTGAGAAGAGGTCGAAATTGGCTAACGCGTTGATTCTTCAGGCACGCGCGAGGCATCCACACGAGGTCACGTGTGACAGATTGGCATCAATACTGCCAATTTCATCCACTTCTGAACATTGAGCTGACAGATGAGAGAATTTACTAATTATGAATACTGGGTGAAGTGAAAGATCATTGTTTAGCTTTACAATTATTTTTGTGTGGTAAAATACATCCATGCATCTGTTTGATCGTGTCTCGTTAATCCGCATACCCAAATGAAGCATCATCATCGTCAATATGCAGGTCTCCAAAGGTAGAGGTGACCCCTTTGCCACGCTGTTTGGCTTTAAAAAAGTAATCCTGCGACTTTTGTACCTCGTATTCCTTCCTCTCGACTGCAAGCCGGCGCTCTCGCCGCTCCTGGAGCGAGTCTTGAAGATCTTCAACGGATGATGAACCGGTCTCATCGGAATCATAATCGTCCATATCTCCCTCTGCCCGGCCGTATGGTAGTGATGAGACAAAGAGATCAGCAATCCAGAGAGAGATCATTCCGCGGAGCTCCAGCAACTCAGGAGAGTCGGAGTATGGGGGAGAACCGAGAATCTCGTCCATCCTGGCTGCAATCTTCTGAGCCTGTTCCAGCTCACTCTTCCTAACACCGGCAATCAGCGCATGCGTCTTCTGTCGGGTGCCAGCCTGGTGTTGCACATCGAGCGCAGAATCTTCTTCTTCCGAGTCGTCAGGGGATGCACCATGGGCGTCCCAGATTTTCTGTCGAGAAACATTGCTCTCCTCTTGTGTGACATACACCCAAAGTCCAAACATGGCAGGATAAAAGTGGAGTGAGCTTATAGCATCAGGTGCCGCTTTTCGGTATGGGTGCTGAATGATGAGGGTTTCGTAATACTGCTTGGCCTTTTCAAACCCCTGCCTTGTGAATAATAGTTTGGAAGGCGGTGCCTCAGACGGCTCAAAATCACTTCCCTGTGCATTATCAGGAGACATGTCCGAGACCTGACAGTCACGTCGGAGCAGGATTTCTGCACCAATGCCCCATCTCCCTTCAGTGCGGACGTCAATTGGGATGCCCCCTATTTCTTCACGGAGGATTAACCCCCACGCCCTGCCCGCTCGAACGAAGTCTTTCTGCAGGAGACAACGGTGCAAAATGGAAGATAGCACGGCCAGGTGCTGAAGACGTAGATTCCCTTGATGAGCTGCAGACTGAGGAGGATAGATTGGAGATGGCAACGAAGTCAACTCTTTCAAGACTTGGTTTCGTGTCTGCCGACGGCTCGGTTGATCCTTAACCGGGGCATGTGGGAAATTGCCCCCGGGTAGTTCTTGGTCGAAGGATAGGCCAGCAATGCGATATTGGTGGGCTTCATCCGGTGAGAGGGTGAGTGATGGACCAGGAGCTGCCTCTGATGCCGCATCTGTTGTGTCGCCATCAACATCGTCATCATCGTCCCCCCAGTCGTTGAGATCCTTCTTGCGCTTCCTAGGCTCGTACTGAGCCACGCGCACACTGGCAGGTTGTTGCCATGGGGCGAGAGGCAAAGAAAAGACCGCTGCTGCAGGAACAGATGCCATAGAGGCACTGATGATAATAATGCCGACGGCCTAATTCCAGAAGAGGAGGACTATTGAGGTACGGGGAGGTCCCGTGGGCCTTGACAGCAAGGATCACCGCATGAAAAGTGATGGGGACGAGTGGCTTGAGCGTATTTAATGTCTTGTTTATGGGAATGACGTCCACAAATACTCCATCACTACTCTGTATCACCGACGATCATCGATCGAAAAGAATGGATAGAATCGGAAGTAAAGAAGGTCCGCAGTACATGTTCACAGAAGTCCAAAATGGGAGCAGATGCAGAAAGACACCTGAGGCAATTAATCTCAGACTTCTTGTCCAATCAGCAGTGCCACATATCATGCCGCCTTGAACACGTTGAGCGCTAGTCCATTAGTAGATAGTAACACTAGATCGGATCCAGGAGGGCGAAACCGCCGAAACCGCCGGGCCACTAAACCGTTTCAGGGACAGTCGGAGTCACGGGCGAGATCGCCTCAAAGAATAAGACCAATCAGAAGCTACTATGTAAGACCTCCCATGGAGGGACTAGGCCGAGATGGGACGGACTGTAGGTCAAGTAAGCAAAACGAAGCCAAGCCGAAACCAAAACCAAAACCGCCCGACCAGCAGCCAAACCGAAACCAACTGTTATCATTCATCATCTCCTCTTCATCATCGTCATCCTCCTCATCCTCGGGGCGCTCCCTTCGTGCTCCATCATCTCTCAGAGGCCCCCAGGGCTTCTCGCACCTCTTAATCTCTCTTTCACCCTGGCATTCATGTTCACTGCTGGACAACTGTCTCGCCAGCAACTTCCATACCTACCCGTCTCTAAGCTGCAATAACTACGGTAGCCTCCGGTTAAGTCGTGGGGTCGCTCCCCCCGAATGTCGTACGGCGTTTAATCCCACCACACGTCCTTCCCTTTGTGGCTCCCTTTAAAAGGGAATCGGCACCTGCTGGCTGGCCTTCAGATAGTTTTCTACGCCCTTTAAGATCTTCTTAGCCGGGGAAATTGTTTCTCTTCACCCTGCCGACCTCCCAGTTTCCGCCTTTTGCCCAACGCTCGTTCGCAGCCGCCTGGACTCCGAACGGCCTACCACACGGTGCGATCAGGCACGTTCACTTCCCAACGTCCGCCTGCAGTAATCCATCTGGACCCAGAATTGCAAATCGAGAATAACAACACCATCCAAGAATTGAATTTATGTCCTTTCACTGAAGACTGCCCAATGGTACGTACCGCCTGAATCCGTCAGGACCAATTTCAGGGTCCTCAGGAGTCGGGACCCTTCTTAGTGGCGTTGCCTGAGTGTATTGCCTGCAAGAGCTGTCTTATCGGCCACCACTTCACCATCTGTTCTTGGTCGCGATTTCCCTGTCTTCACTTCTGCCCATCGGACCGTGCCTGAAGTGAGTCACTGCTGTGCCTGCCATCTTACTAATGCTGGTTGCACCTTTAGTCATCCACCTTTCGATGGCAATAGGCGGCTTATAGACTCCCATCGCCACGTCCTTGCGTTATTGTTACTATGGGACAGTCTTCCTCTACACAACGAAATCGTCGTCACAGTACCCCTCCAGAACACTTTCCCACTTTCCACGCGATCCGTGTCCGCAGAAATAGGGATGAAGCAATGAATAACAGCTACAACACGGAGCAGACTGGGGACTACCAGCCCCGGTCGGGAACAGAGACAGACCATGACAGCACTGCAACAGCTTCAGGAGCCCCCGCTCATCTGGATTCTTCTGCCGAGATATGGCATCCCAACATTTCAAGTGACGAACAACGACATATGAGAACAATACAAGAGGAGAACGACTCGCAATATGAACCAGGCCAGCGGGAATATCGATCGGATATCTTTGCCCGAATGGCTGCAAGAAGACAGTCAACCATGTCGCGATTGGGCTCTAGGATCCTTCCTAATTCGGTGATCCGTGGATTGCTGAGCAGTGAAGAAGAAACACCGGCAGAAGGTCATGCCCATCGACACGGTATCGTGTCAAGGACGATTCCAAGATCGGAAGCCACGCATAGCAGCGCTCGTTTTAGCCCGTTCAACTCCCTTAGCTCGAGAAGCGTTTCTAGGCGACGCTCCTTACGTGGGCCGTACTTCATCCCCCGCAATGAACCAACTCTCTCGTCAGATCCCGCTCGTTCCGGCTCATTCCTCGACCCTACCACAGAGATCACTCCAGAACCCACGCGAAGCTCATGGCGCCGCAGTGCTCGGCTGCATCGTGTCCGAAACTCACTGTCAGGACCTATTGGCCACATGTTCGGCCAATCTTTTCCGAACGCATCGGCCCAAGAATCAGGACCACTCCCACAAACACCCCTGGACCCAGTCTCTAGTGAGGACGCCGACGGATTTCTTCCTTATACAAGGTCAATGGATAGCCAGATGGACTTCGATGAGCCCCATGAGCTTGATTCGGTAGAGCCTGCTGTAGGCAGTACCCGTCCTACCTCGCCCATGTCATCGCAGTCTGCACAAGGCCCACCTGGCTTACGGCAACTCCCGGGATTGCTGCGAGCAAGACCGTCTCGAGCCATGCGTCGAGAGGAACAGACTCCTCTGTCGCGTGTTCTTCAGCTGGCTGCTGCCGCCATTGCCGCTCAACTCTCTGGCACAGCTGGTCCGGTCATGCCCAACATCCAGGCTCTGGGTAATGACGGCCTTGATGGTTCGTTGGATAATTTCATACAGAGCTTACAGCACGCCACGTCCACCCAGACGGCACCCAACGAAGGAGAGAGTGCGGCAGGCGACAACGGCCCTCCGACCCCGGTTAATTTTCTCAGAGTCTTCCGCTTTGCCAATTCAGATGGTAGTCGACCCGGCGGTCCATTGAATCGTCCAACGGCAAACGCTGAGAACACCGATAGCAACGGCGGCGGAATGGATGTGGACAACCCTACTGATGGACCTGAAGGACGTACTGTTACTCTCGTAGTGGTTGGGGTACGATCGGTCCCGTCTGGGAATGGGCCTAGCGGCGATCAGCCAGGTACTCCAGGAACTGGACTGGATGCCTTGCTTCGCTTGCCGTTCCTAACACCTGGGAATCTAGCACGCAATCACGAAAACGGCTCTGGATTTCCACCACGTTCAGACGGGCGGCCAAGGCTTCCACCTATCCGGCTCCAGGGCGAGCAGCATCCTACGGGGCTTCCCACGGGTAGTGACATTTCTTCACAAGGAGGACCAGCTCCACTGCGACGGCTGTCTGACGCGGGCACCCGGGTCCCATTAGGCTCACTGTCTGCAGCCCCTTCGGTGCTTTCGGAAAGCCCTCCAGGTCCCCATCCTCCTCCTTCGACGCCAGCTGATCCGGGATTATCCGCCGTGTCATCCAGCGCGTCCACTCCTAGTCGGAGACCTTCCACTGCTTCGGCCATGTCACCAGGTACTTTACCTCCGATCGACACCAACCGACCGATGCAACCCACCGTTGAGCCTGCTGAAGACGGTATCCCGCTAAATACGCGCCAGCGACGTCGAAGTGACTCCGAATATGCACGCCATCGTGACCTAGGGTCTGGTGCTGTCCGTCGTAACGGCGTCGTAGAACCCGACAATGCTACGCCACCCACAGGAAGAAGCTGGCTGATCTACGTTGTCGGGACCAATCTTTCAGAGAATCATCCTGCTTTTGCAACGCCAAGTCTGTTTACTGATGTAAGAAACCCCAAGTCTAACCCTATTCGCTCGACCTTTTTCTTCCCTGGTTGTTACGTTTTGTGGCTAACACGTGTGTAGAATCCAACCTACGAAGACATGATCTTGCTTTCGTCTTTGCTTGGGCCTGTTAAGCCACCTGTTGCGACCCAGGAGGATCTCTCTACGGCCGGTGGACTGTTCCGCCTTGTGGAATATGCCGGCTCGCTGGTTGCAGAAGGCTTGGAAGGTGCTGGCGCCATCCAACTTCCAGAAGGCGAGCGGTGCTTGATCTGTCTCAGTGACTACGAGGCGGCAGAGGAGCTTCGGCAACTGACCAAATGCAAACACCTTTTCCACCGGGATTGCATTGATCAGGTTCGTTCATATCTTTCCCCGGAGGTTTTGGTGACTGACTGACTTTCTACTAGTGGTTGACCACAGGCCGTAATTCATGTCCACTCTGCCGAGGCCAGGGTGTAGCCGAGACGTCGAATAATCAACCCACTCCAGATGCACCTAGCGCAGCAGCAGCGTAAAACATGCGCTGCGCTCGTCATTCTCTTTCGATTCATCATCTTTCTACATAAACTTGACTTATTTGAAGCTTAGCATGAAGCGTCTTATCTCATACCCTAACGAACGTCTTTTACTGGTTTATTTTTCACTTCACGGGTGGCAGGCACGGCGAATACTGATCTCCTTTTATTGAGCAAGTGGTCTTTTCTGGTCATGGGCCGTGGGAGAGGGGTTCTCAAGGAAGTGTGGCAGCTGACGCGTGAGGCATGCTAGAGTGGTTGCATCACTGTGGCCCGCCGCAATCTGCCATAAATACGGGACCTACATGAGTGCATGATATCTGGCTCTTGTGGCATAATTCAGTCTTTGAATTCTTGTTTACTGATCTCTTCCCATTTGTATTATTCCCCTCTCTGGTTGAGCTACGGCTCTTGGACGATTGCGCATTGGTAGCAGGGGTTTCTGGCCTGGCAGTCACGGCAATAGCAGTCGACTTTGGTACATATTAGTTGCATACAGCCTGTTATTTGAGATTGAAAAGCTATCTGTTGTTGTCCTCTTGTGTAGAGACCAAGCCATAAGCTTGGGCCAACAGCACACACTGACCTGTAGTAGCGGAGCGGAGCCCAACCCCGGCGAGAGTCCCGCATCTCCGCCCCTCGGCTGACTCAGCCCACCGCAGTTCACCACCCCGCGTCTGCTGCCATCCACTGGCTCATTACGCAGTTGGATTGTGCCTTGAAGTCCGACTCTCGTAGGCCTAAACTCCGCGCCATTGCTAAGACTTTGCCGCGTGCCTGGTGCGCAAACTCTACCCCTCACCGTGGGATCAATTGAGTGAAAGTTGCTGATCCTCTACAGCCAGGGAAAAACCAAGAAAAGAACCCACTCCAGAAAATTTCCGACCTACCCCGCTACGAAACCAAAACACCACCGATCCTAGTCCCTCGATCCTTTCCAAAACCACGCCTCCCTCTCCCAATCAACAGAAAGGACAAATCTATTAGAAAATGGCCAATATGGACACACCTGTGCGCCTTACCGTTCTCATATCCGGCAATGGCTCCAACCTTCAAGCAGTGATAGACAAGACACAGCAAGGACAACTTTCGACGCAGATCGTGCGCGTCATCTCCAACCGCAAGGATGCCTATGGTCTCGAGCGGGCTCGACAGGCCAACATCCCCACGCAATACCACAACCTGGTGAAATACAAGAAACAGCACCCTGCTACACCGGAGGGTATCCAGGCGGCGCGGGAAGAGTATGACGCCGAATTGGCCCGATTGGTACTGGCTGATAAGCCGGAAATGGTGGCTTGTTTGGGATTCATGCATGTTCTGTCGCCGAGGTTCTTGGAGCCGTTGGAGGAAGCTAAGATTAATATCATTAATCTGCACCCGGCTCTGCCCGGGGCGTTTAATGGGGCGGTATGTTTATCCTTTTTTTTTTGCCCCCCTCTTCTTCATTGTTCCCCCTTATCTTGTGCTTCTAAAATTTATCCGTGGGAAGAAGAAATCATGCTGACGTAATTCTGGGATGGGTGGGTGGAATAGAACGCTATTGAGCGTGCGCATGCTGCTTGGTTGGAAGGGAAAATCGATAAGACGGGTGTTATGATCCATAGAGTCATTTCGGAGGTGGATATGGGGCAGCCCATTCTGGTCAGAGAAATTCCGTTTGTGAAGGGGGAGGATGAGGATCTGCACAAGTTTGAGCAGAAGGTGCATGAGGTTGAGTGGGGAGTGGTCATTGAGGGGGTGAAGCTTACGATCCAGGAGGTCAAGGAGAGCAGGTAGACTTTATTGCTCTTACGTGAGAGGGTGTGGCTGGTGGAGCAGTGTTTCTTTGGCTATGAGTGATGATTGTTACTAACTATTGGGGTCTAAGATACCATATACTACTACGAAATGGACTGAGGCATGTATAATGTCCGTTGGGTTAATAAGTCGACTGTTAAACGCTATTTCAGCGATGAACGCGCGCTCTTCATACGAGGGCGTTTGATAGTCCTCATATGGTTGTTGGGACGGAGTTTAACCTCTCTGGGAACCACCTTGGATGGAGAGACGATGAATGGCTAGACCATCCGACGCCGTCTCTTCTTTGAATATAATGGCACTATAGTCACCGGATACTAGAGAATTGTAGTACGTATTGCACGCGCAGATACGAGATCAAGTGGCTCCAACATGGACCGGACTTCAGAATCTACTTCCCCTCTTGCCAAGTGACTGCTGGCTGGTACATCCCAGTCTAAACCGGTGGAGAGCACGGTCACAGCAATTTGCTAGGGTTGATTAGCGTGTTTGCTCCCTGGCCAGTCACGCTACCCAGTAGTACTTCTGCTGGGCCGGCATGGCTCCCTGCTAGTGCACCAAGGGCTTAAGGAAGGAGCACGTTCGTACTTTCCTTACTGAAAAAGGCAGCTCAACTGGGCAGGGATTGCTTGCTTTCCCAAGGCACTCGGGCAGAAGGGACAGACAAGGCCTCAGGCTGCACACACAAAAGCATGCGCTTGGACCCAGCAAGAAAACACACAGGCAGCTCCAATGCACCAAACCCAGAGTTCTCCTGTCTGGTCATCATCGAGATTGGCCCAACAAGTTGAAGATCGTCTGGTTGACGCCCCCAGAAGAGATTAAATCCTTACTCTAAGGAAGGTCATGCCATGCCTGGTCTCCGCCTGGTTGCTCACTCCCCACTTTCCGATCCCTTCCCCTTCTCCTTCCTCACATTCCAGCGCCTACTACTGATGCTAGTTTCAGAGCTCAATTTCTTGTTTCACAGGGATGCTTACTTGGCATGGCTGCTACCGTCCATGTCTGGATGTCTTGCAAAGTTGACCCTCTGGCCTGGACGACTCAGCAATCCGGAGCTTCGACAGATTTCAGTGACTCTGAATGAACGCTCTGGTCCACAGTTTCTACCCTCAACATGAATTTATCACCTCCAATGGCACGTCACGACGGAGGCCTCCGACGGATGAAACCTTCCCCTCCCCTAATGCACATCTCAGCTAATTCGACGCGTTGATAGGCCAGCGTGAGGATCCAACGGCTGATGTGCATCACGGCTTTTCCGTCCCCCGAAGACAAAGTGCTTTTGCTGTGGCCCTTGCTAGTTTGTACCCACGTACACTATCTATGCTAGGGTAACATCATAAGTGGGCTCGAAGAATAACGTCTAGTATCCTGCGTTGGGAAACTATGCGCGCCGGCTCCACTCGGACGACAATGATATGGTGATGGAACAACGCTGGACGGATCGTGGCTCGGCACTTCTACTGGTTGCCACCGTACTAACAACACGGAACTCTTTCCCTTGCCCTTACTCGCCCCATTCGCAGCATAGCTTCACCGGAAACAGAATTAACTAGCGGCCCAATCCAGCTGGGTACTTGGTTGACTTCCGGCCTGCGGCCCGGATCATAGCACGTACTCGTATTCTTTTGGTGGCTCTTGCGTTTCTCGTTGTGCTGCCATGACTCTTGACCACTGGAAGAGCAAGAATGGGGATTACGGGAAGAATAACATAAATGTGATGATCTGCAAAATCTAGATCTACTCCCCCAGTAGCAATCATCGAGTGGAAGCAATCGCATCTTGAGGCCTTTCCGCGTGATCTGATATCCGCCGTGCCCCGTTAGAGACCCCGTTCGAAAACGTTCTCTGATCGATAAGTTGTGCGTGAGTACTATATTCTAGGTCCAGAAATTATTCAGCGGAAATCCCGAGGGTCACTTGGGGTGGAGCTGTCTGCTATTACGAAGTACTGGCTGATTGGGTCCCTGGGTGACTGGAGATCCCCGACTATGTTCCCCGAACACTAGTGAACCCGCGGCACATGCCATTCGCCATGCCCGGGTTTTCCTGCACAACTTTACTCTCGAAGACTCGTGTAGTCAGATAAATGCAGGTCCGGACTGGCCAATAGCTGCATATCATTCATGCATACAAGACCGGATGGAAAGGGATACACAATAGGAAGGAAGATCACTCTATTCATAGTTTAATGATCAACGAGAGCATCCCAAATTATCCCAGGATGGAGAAAGAGCATATTATTGCCTACTCTCCGTTTCAAAGAACTGCAAGGATCGTCCTGATGGACCAGGTAGCCCAGAGATTACCTAGTTTGCGCAGCCTATGAGCAGTCACCACATGGGCCTCATTTCCTAAATCCCAAGTTGCTAATTGACTAGCCACAGCTCCCCTCCACGGACGGAGCAGTTGGTCCTCCGCATATCCGTTGTCCCAGCCGCCTGAGGCTCCGGCTCTTCCAGAAAGGTACGGTTAATTTCCATAGTCTCCGTGATTGGTGGTGAAAGAAGAAAGATCAGGGCCAGATGCCTCATGCCGGGTCCGCATGGGAAGGGGAACCGTCCGCTTTTGGCACACTTTAAGAAGAAGCAAACATACTGTCCACATGGAGGCACCCACATCTTCTCCGGACGCCTGCCTTCTTTGAGAGGGGTGCAATATTACCTCTTGGTCCACAGTTCGTGGTGGTTACCTGTTTAATCATGGATATGGTGGATGGGGACAACGTGCGACCGTCGGCACCAGTTCTCAGCAAACCTTACTTTTCTCTGCCACGTTTCCAGCGGCGAACCAAATTCAGGTGCCGACCGGCCGATGGTAGGTAAGCTCCTCTTCTCTCTCTGTCTCTCTCCGAATATATTTTAGATTCTTCTCGTTCTCGTCGCAGACAAGAAATGCATGTAAAGAGTGCCGTGGATTAGGGCAAATGTGGGCCGCAGCGATGCGTCGAAGTACGAGGCGATAAATTTGTTAGGGGACCTACGGCTGAGACTAGGGCCGTCAAGAGTCGCCCAGTGCCGGTTAGATTGGTGGCCCCAGCTAGATCTGGGTGGACGGCGACCAGTCACCAGCGGAGGCCACAGCCTACTCAGCTGTCAAACCCTCAGTGTCGATCAGGAACATCCGACTGACCCGAATCCAATTTGCCTCCCTGAGAGGCCACGCCGTCGTGGTGGCCATTTCTTACGGCCGACGACGACGTCGCAAATGTGGCACATCAAATCGCCTTGGCGCAGTTTAAGTTCAATGTTTCCCAGCTTGCCTTGCTGGCTGAGCGACACCATCATGAATATCGTCCAGTCGTCCCTGCTATAGTTCACAGCGGGTGCTATAACCCCATTTCCGGTGACAGACGGGGACCCCAGAGCTGGTTCAGAGCTTTTCCGAGTGCGTGGGCGAACGAACGTCTCGGCAAATGTTTCCCAGATCGGGTGGTGTCATTGGATAGGGGCAGTTTCAGATTAGCCGAGGAGCATTCTGGCGGCTTCAAGTGGATCCCAGCTGGGGCTGGCGGAGTCGCCCGTGGCAATGGGACGGCGTTAGTGGTTGCTGGCCCTTCAAAGAAGGTTTGACCGCATCCACTGTAATTGCCATGACTCTTAAAGGAGCAAGCATGCAATGTTATGAACACTAATACTTTACGAGTCCGTATAAGTCTAGGTTAGCTACAATGCCGTGGTTGTCGGCGTCTTCACGAGTCAAACACCACAGAACATTCGGGATTTGCGCAGGGATCTCCTTAGCAGCGTCCGCAGGCACCATATCCATGGATTGAACGATTTGCAGCGCACTTACTTGGCGTGGTCTGACTCTACACCGTACACTAGTGGTCAATTACCAGAATGTAATTTGGATGGTGATGGCCATTGAAGAGCCTGATGTTTAGGGGTGTAGAACACCGGCCCTCTGGGCATAAGGCAACCAATTGTGTAAGCATTACATGCAGATTGCTTGTGTAACATTCTCAGTTGGATGCCCAATTACCCCAATGTTTGGCACTACCGTCTGAACCAGTTGTGGATTATTCAAATCAATTACAGACAGAGGGCATCATCACATACCGAAATGGGATAAAGGGAGAACAAAGAAAGTTATGTAAGCCATGAGTGGGTTGTTCTCCAGTTTTAGTATGTTTATCTTCAGGGTCCGAACGTCATTGACGCTTGTCTCAACTCTCTGCCAGATCGGAGAGAGAGAGACAGAGAGAACTTGCAGGGCAAAACTCTGCCCGTGCATCAGCCTTACAAAATAAAATATCTTGGTATTTAGAATTTCCAGTTCCACCGCCAATCAAGGCCTGCTTGCCTCGTCCGAAAACTTACGATTCCGCTAACGATGGACTTATCTTAGCCAACAGCCACCGCTCCTTGCGCTAGCAATCGTGTCTCGCAAATCGCTCAACCACAACTGTGCTTCCTTATTTCCCCCGTCTTTCCTCGCTGCTGAAGTCGTCATTCCTTATGGCGTTTTCTGCGACATTATAGCGTGCATTCTCTGCTTGATTCGATCGTGCTTTTCACCCCGGGTTTCTCCGAATCAAACATGACGGATCCCAATCCGCAGAGCGGAAGCCTTGAACACCGCTCTTTGCGGGACTGGCTTGCGGGCTTCTTCCGAGCACCTGTGTCAAACAGCTCTGCAGATCCTCCGCCTGAGCGAATTCCCGAGACTTTAGAACCGAACGATAGAACTCGCTTGTTGAAGTTAGACGATGGTCAAGGTCCCGCATACGGTACCAGAGATGGTTTATCGACGCCGCAGGTTGACGGTGGACCTGAAGGACATATACGGAACGGGAATGGAAACCCAACCTTTGTACAAGGACCGGAGAACTTGCCTCCCAGGACTGGGTCAGGTCTGGCATGGCCTGTGAAGAACCATAAGACGATGTAGGCTTGGACTATACAATCTCTCGGCTTTGGATTCAGGACGAAACACTGATCGAGATACAGGTACCTCTCATACTACATCCCGTT